GCTCCACAGCTTTATTGCCCTCTTGATCGCGACCCCGGGGCTGTCCACAGCGGTCTGTGGCGTGTCCAACAGTTCAGTTACAGAGACCCTCTCTGTATCCCCCCAGACAGAGACCCCATTCCTGTCCTTGACCCGCACAGCCCACCATTCATTTTTAATTAGGGGTGGAGGTGGAGGGAGGGTGGAGTACACTAGCTGCTGCTGCTGCTGCTGCTGCTGCTGCTGCTGGCCAGCTCCTTCTAAACAGGAAGACCTTTTGGGTCTGATAACCTTGGCCTCACTGCTTCCTCCCCCTCCAGCCAATAACAAACAAACAACAACAGTGAATAGCCTGTATTTCATAGCCAGAATAGAGCGTTGGTTTGTATTTGGTGTTTCTATTTCTCATTTATGCCCCACCTAATAATCCAGTGAATGCATATCAGTGAACACAACATGCATGCACACACATACATGCCTTATAAAACTTGAGACACTGACTGCATTCAAGTGAGGCATGTCTGGACATGTGTGCTGAGCTCAGTGTGTTTGTACAGAGAATTTATTTTTCCCTCCATAACTGACAGAGGCAATATGAAGGCTGCAATGACGGCCGAGAGCTCAATCTCAAAAGATAGCACAGGAGGGGCATTGATTTATTTATACTTTGTGGTATTTAATTTACTTGCATGCATATTGTATGGTTTCAGGGCGCAGTCTCACAGTGGATGGATCTTGACGTGAGAATAAAAAATATAGAATTACTGGTCTTTTTTTTTTTGTAATTAAAATGGCCAGAACTTTTTAATAAGCTTCCATTCAACATTAATTCAAGACTGCCAGCCATTGTTCTTAAACTTTGAAGCATTCATCCCTTAATTGGCAATTATGTCTGGTTGGCTGGCGTCACTGCAGCCAAAGAAGAAGTACTGGGGGATGAAGGGGGAGAATCTGGACAGCCCCTGTTTGTCCTTCTTTTCATTCATTCAGCAGACTTTCACTTGGCTTGCTTTTTTATAGTGATCTTTTTATAGGAATACACGCTTGATAGATTAAATGGCTGAAATAGTTTGGAGGCTTTAGCTCAAAAAGAAGATTTAACTAAACTTCACAAGACTGGGTTAACGATGCCAGTGTTTCTGGGCAGTACAGCAATTCCCCGCAGACCCAATTTTATCCCAGTTCTCTTATTAAATTAGATTAGACAGACATTTTTTTTTTACTCTTATCTCCATTTTTTTCTGGGTAAGACCTCAAGGTGCTTGTGTAGGTCCTGTCAGGTCCTCTGAGTCTTTGTCCTAACGAGGCCCCTGAGCTGATTCACACATTGTAAAAGTGAGACATCTAAGGATGAACAACATCTGTGTTTGAACTAAAACTGCCGCAGGACATTATTGTTAAGTCACTTTTTAGCATCCTGAGCAGACACCGGAATAAAGGTTGAAAAGGATGACATATTTGGGCCACAAAGTTCAGCATTGAAATGGCAGCGGTTGAGTGCCTGGAGTTAGTTTGCATGGTAAAGGTGGAATAATAGGGTTTAGTTTACTACTGTTCCTCTGTTTGTTCTCTAGGGCACAATATGAATTATTAATGTTGCCTTAGAATAGAAATGCCAGTAAACAACTCAGTGTGTTTTAAATAACCAGTGGGAACGCCTGCTTTTGGGGATAATGGAAAAGTTGCATGCGAGTATTAAATTAGGGTGTTTTTGGTTAGCATGTGCAAACAGGTGCGGCCTTTTTAGCCTGCATGACAATAGCCTGCTTAGGAGATAATATTTCAAAAACAGATTTAATACATTTAAGTGGTCCAGGTTTCACCGGCAACTCAGAGTGCGGTAATCCCTCAGCTGATCCCTGCATAAACTTCACTGAAACCACATGTCTGTTTCTGAAGATGTAACAACAATAAATAACTGCACGTCATCTTGTCTTCAGACTTGTGGACTTTTGATGTGGAGGAAAGTAAACCATAATTATGCGCTCTTTCCCAGCCTCTCCCGGGACACAGGGAATTACAGCTAATGAAGTCAGCCATATGTGGAAAGCACAAAGACAAGAGACAACCTGATTGTGCTAATTACACGTACCTTCGCTGCCTAATTTAGCAAGCCAAGGGGAAGCTCAGAGGCTTTTGTTCCCAGCATGTGCATTGATAGGCTTATTATCTGATCAGAGAGGCTATTCACGCCCCGGTGCACCTACTCAGCCATATGTTAGTGATGAAGTGTTTTGACCCGAAGGTTTAATGTTAATGGTGGAGGGTATTGGATAAGTGTCGAAGTATAGAATCTGTGAAGCGGTCAATAAGTCGGTTAAAGGAAAATGAATCAACAACAATGCTGATGATCAATTTAATAATTTATCAGTGAGGAATTAAAAAAATATTCTGTTTTTCTGTTTAGTAATTGTAAATTAACTTATGACTTGTCCAGGGCTCCAGTCCCACCGCGATGTGGATTCGGAGTTATAGATTATGGATGGATGGATGGATATCTTGGCTTTAGACTGCTTCTCAGACATAAAAAGCAATCTGTAAACATCTTGACATCTTGGGGTCTGTGAAATTTATTAAGAAAATAATCAGCAGAATAATCTTTGATGATTTTTAAAATTAATTATTAGTTGTGGTCCTAATTTATAAGAATGTGTCACTGTCCTAGCAGGCTTTGCAAAGTCAAATATCAGGACTAAGAGTTTACAGCCATGCTAGCAGATCTTTGAGGTTGTAGGCACAGTAATACATGCTTGTTGTGTTGATTGAAAAGTCAGGTGATCTGTGCAACATTTCATGATATTTCAGTCAGGACCAAAGTGGTGGACTTGCCGACTGATAAACTGACATTACCATTCACAATAAATATTGTTGCTTTTTCTGATATTTACCTAGAATTAAATATTTTACTGTAAATGTATACCAAGATTTTTTGTCAAATCTATTACATTTGTCTGTTTTCCCAGAATACCCACATTCTGCAACATGGCGGTCTCTCACGGTGCTTATAGGTTGCTTTGTATATGATGTTGTGCTGTCAGTTGTCCTACTCGGCTACTTTTCCCACCCGAGGGTTCGACACAATCACTGCTCCCTCAAGATTAAGTATCACAGCCTAGTGTTGTTACACCTACAACCGACCCCCCTTGCCCCTTATGGTGTCATCCATAATTAAATCCATCAACAGTTTTTCTTCGACATCTAAACATATGGCGAGGGATCCCTCCCCATCACATACACCCCCCCCCTTCCATCCCTACTCCCCAGGCTGACTCTCACCATCCCTCCTACTCGCTGTCTCCCCTCTCGCTCATCTCATTGTCAGTCTGTTTCCGCCTCAGTGACCCCAGCCCCCCTTCGCTGTTTGGGGGTTATAGTCTAGACGGCAGCGCTGATTGGCTATCACACCCAGCGGTGTCCCCCCATTGGAGAGAGATACATATAGGGGCCGTCAGACTGATCTGTTTGAAAGGTGAGAGACAGTGACAGACTGACAGAGGTGCAGACGAACAACAACAGTGAGACAGACAGGGATATCTTTACCCCCGGCTTTGTGAAAGTTTATAGAAGGTAAGGTGTGGTTTTCTAAATAAAGGTTCATAATATTTGTTTTAGAATGAGATGCGAGTCCTGCAAGTTCTTGTTTTTCATTTTCAGAGGGTTTTTTATTTTAAAAGTGTTTGTTCTCATGACAGAGGCCTATTTTATGTGCAATAAACTGCTGTTTTGTTTAGTTGACAGCTATCTATGTTGTTGAAGCTTAACCGACAGAACCTGACAGACAGCTTGGTTTATAGGAAAAAGAATTCATTCAGTGTTGTCTGCTGTACAGTAGGTGTGCTTTAGAAGTTTCCATCCAACAGTTTCCCACACACACCGGCACGTTTTACAAAATTCCTTTCATGGTTTCTTTCGTCCTCCCACAGGTTTCTTTTTAAAGGGGATGGCTCCCAACAGGTTTACTCATCAATCAGTTGCTGGCTTTGCCAATGTGAACACGTTCTCAGACAAAGATAAACCTGTTGTTACATTAGGAGAATGATTCAAAGTCTGGGTCAAGGTGTGAAATGATTCAAGGCTACAAGTTAAGACACAGGTCACGATGCTGGCTCTGGGCTTTCTGTCTGCCTTCAGGAGAAGACGGTTAGTCCAGGTCACATGACATAGGCTCTTAAACAGATGAGAGCAGAAAGAGAGAGGAGGAGGAGGAGGAGGAGGAGGATAAAAGCTGAGTGTATGATTACTGCTGCAGAGAGGAAAGTAAGAGTGAAGACAAAGAGCTCGGAGGAGGGAGCAAATATGGAATAAAGTAAATAGATGGATTCAAAAAGAAAAAAACTGAGAGCAGAAGTAGTGAGTAGGAGAGAGAGAGTCTGTTTTACAGCTGTCATGAGTTGGATCCCCTCTCATACGCAGGCCATATGGGACCCTGTCCTGTCATCCAAAACTAGGTCACATGACCCATAATTAAACAAGGTGCATAGCCTGAAACACATAAGAGAGGGGTCTAACTGACACAGAGACAAAAGGCAGGACTATTACTGTAGTTTTTATTCATGAATACATGTATGTAATGCTTTAGATAGGGTCAGTTGATGGTGTGTAATTGGTTTTGTGCTCTTGCTGAGATACATGATGAACTGGGGGGGGGGGTCAGTGAGGAAATCAGTCTTTCGATGAATGACGATGAGATCCTACCAAGAGGCGCAGACTCTCTGAATTGATGAACCTCTAAGGCTTAAGCCATAGTCCGAAGTGGAACACTTTTAGATTTTGTTCTCATCTCATCTCTTTATGCTCTCATTTGTCTTCTGCAGGTGTCTATGACAGAAGCCGGAGATGCCTCCAGCTCAGATGAATTCAATGATGGAGCCCTCCAGAACTCAAGCTCCTTCAGTTCAGACAGCGCTTAGAAACCTCGACATCTCAGTCGGCCATTAACCGGGCATCCGTATCCTGCTCCACCCAGCTACTCTACGTTACGTGGCTTCAACTCAGGAAGATTACGGGCTCTTTAGCCAACCATGCCGAGGAGCCAGCGAGTCAATGCAACGTCCAAGGCCATCTCTGGAGAGCAGAAACTTGCAGCAGAGGCATGGCAGAGCCGTCTCACACAGAGCAGCCTGAACTATCTTCCTCGGCTTCAGCCTCGGAGTCGAAAGCGAAAGAAGTGAAAAGCGAGAAGCCAAGGGTGAATGACTTGATTATACTAGGAGGTGGTCGATACGCTGCACCAGGTGGATTTCTGATGGACCCATGGGGGAACCTCGCAGGCCCGACCTACCCTCATCCATAGAGCCCCCACGTCGTGCTCCCAGGAGGTGGACCTGCCTGGGATCCTGTACAGAGCCTCTCTAGAGAGGGCCTTCATGCGGACAAATGACTACTCCAGGAAGCACCAGGACGACGGCAGTGACTGGACATCTTCGCTCATGAGCCGCAGGCCGCACCGCCAGCCCTTAGTGCTCGGCGAAAGTCTGTTGCGACCTAGTGGGCAAACTGGCTGGACTGCCTGAGGTGGACCAGGAAGAGGGGGAAGAAGAGGAGAGGAGGAAGAGGAGAGAGGAGAAGATGGTGGACGGAGGGGCAGACAGACCGGACACCCCCGCTCATCCTCTCCGGCTCAGCCGCTCACAGGAGATCTGCAGAAAGTTCTCATTAACTACAAACATCTTCAAGAAGTTCCTGCGCAGCGTCCGGCCCGACAGGGACAAGCTGCTCAAGGAGAGACCTGGCTGGATGGCTCCCGAGCTGCCGGAGGGCGACCTCTTCAAAAGGCCTAAGAAACTGGTTCCTAAAAGTTCAAAAGGCAGCTTTTACCTGCCGTTCTGGGCAAATGGACAGCAGGGCAAAGGCAGGCCGTGTCCACATCTAGCTGAAGCGGAGAGGAACCACCAACACCACTTCCCCCAGGTCCACCAGCAGCCATTTGCTGGGATTTATTTAGACAGGAGACAGCCAGAGACTGGTCTGGAGAAAATGCAGCCCTTGTTTGACTACAACACAGCTGTGTGGGTCTGACAGTGAGGCCAACAGACTGCCAGTGATGCCAGACTGAGTGAGTGACAGGTGCTAGGGGATTTTGGCTGTGCTGGAGGGCAATGAATGAATGAATACAAGGCTTGGATACAGTTATCTTCCAAAAATGAACCAATGAACTTCACACACACACACACAACGAGATTATCAGGGCAGCATTTTGTCTGACAATCCTAAAACCTAAAGCTTGTTTGCTGTGTGTGCGAGTGTGTGCTGGAGAGTGTCTGAGGCGGAGTTAAAGAGAAACATTTTTTTGAGGACTTATGCTGCAAGTTTTTTATTATTCACATTTCTTCTTATGTGTGTGTGTGCATGTATGACTGGATTCTCTACATGTCTTAAAAGACGGTACCTTGAAATGGACATCTTTCTCAGAATGTCACCATCATCACAGATCTTTCTAATAAAACATCCACAGACACTCCTATGCTACAAGACATACTATATATCACTTTTTTGCATCTATGAATAGAAACACCAACTGTTGGATTGCATGGTTACTGTTTTTATAAGTGATGCTACAAAACAGCTGTTACTGAACGCACTGCCACTAAACACAGTCATATGCTCACATTTGTTTCCAGCAGGCCTTTGGCGCCATGGAAACTCAGGTTTAACTGAACCATTGGTCTCATTCACCTTGCTCAGGGAAAGAATTTTACACAGGAGTAAACTTTTAAAACACTGCCGCATCTAAATGGGTTCCAAATACAGTTTTGCCTAGTTTCATTTTACTAAGAAAGACATAACAGCAATACAGAGCATGATTAGTTCAAAGACTGCACATTAAACTTCGGGATTTGTCCCTCATATTCAGCAGTGTTGTGCTTGCTGTCATGTTAGAAATACTATTTTTTCTTCTCTGCCATGCAGACATGGCACATGTTGAGTCAACTGTCAGTCCTCCTGGGTTGCTACACAGGGAGAGGAGGGAGTAAAGATGGCACAGCCAGTACTGACTGACTGACTGCCATCTGGTACCCGATCGTTATGTAAAGCCCATTCATGACAGTCTCGAATAAGATGCAAAACGGGCTTGTTTAATCCCAAAGCTTTGTGGATGAACTGAATTATGACGATGGTGTTACATACTGTATATATACAAAACACACAGGTGAATACATTAAAAGGCTGCAACAATGATGAGACAGAGTTGAGGTAAAGACCCCCAATCTCTTTCAGACAGGATCAAGTTAAATGTACAGAACATTGTACATATTTGTCATCAATCAAACAACAGCTATAACAAATATTTTCTGTAATATCCCATCGCATGGTTTTCATTATTCTGCACAGATAAATATGTCACAGTAATATTACAGTTCTTACCGTGTAAACAACATGTAAACAACACCACAACGCTTGTATTTAAACCACAGACTGATGGGTTCATCTTTGACTTACAGTATCTATTCTCTTGAATCATAATAAAAACAGTTTCTATGTTTTTCATTTCAAGTGGCATCAAACAGATAAAAACAAACTACGGCTTCCTTCATATAAATATGAGGATTCCCTCAGGATTACAGATAATACTGCCTGCTCTGACTTAAAATACTTTTATAGAGGACCACTGTTATGCAAGGACAATCTGATACTCTAACTTCTTATTGTTATGAAAAAGCAGTTAATTTCACTCAGTTTTAAAAAGGGATCCCAGACCAATCAACTTAGCCAGCAGGGATTAGGCCTTAGGTCTTTTGAGTGTCTTGGCCAGTCGATCCATATGGTGTTGTCTCAGTATTCAGGTCAATACATACCACACATTCAAAGGGTCCAACACACACACATACACGGTTGATGCCATGAGGCACAGTCTGAGATGTCATATCACACAGTATGTGTATGTAAATGTAACATTTATTTCTTCCTATTTACAGTTGTCTAAGTGTAATTTTCAGCACTGTTGTTGATATTTTTCATCAGGGTTCTGCGAACCGTCAGTAGTGATTCTGTGTCATGTGCACTGTACAACTGTCACTGACTCTTTGTAAATTAAATCTGTTTTCAGAATGAAATGTTACTCTGTGTCTTGACTTTGGTTTTGTGTGTCAAGTGGTGAATGTGTTACTTTGTTGGTGCATTAAGTTGCTATTCTGGAGCTTTTTATTTACATACTTACTCTTATATATGTAGAATCTAGCCTACAAAATAAAGAACAATATCGAGACTCTAGCCAACCAGCTTTTGCTTTCAGCTGTAGCCATCAGTCCGATTTGTTTCTGCTCTGCTCTGGATCTTCACTACAGTAAAGTGCTGCTGCATGACTAACGGGTTCATTGAGGGCAAAGCCAGCAAGTCACTCACTGCCACTGCATCAACTGTGCACTAAATTGATTCTAAATCCGTACAACAACTCCATCAGTGTCTTCAATAAATAAACAAAAGCAACACGAACTCTGCAGCCCTCCAGTTCATCACAGGCTCTTCATGACACTCAATCCCTGAGACGGTTTATATGAGATGCATATGAAACTACATCAATCAGTTCATCTTTCTGTCCCAGAGCACTTTGTCCGACAAAAGCCAAGAAAATAATACCTGCTGCAGAGATCCTTTGCTCAAACATATCTGCTCTGTAGAAATAATTCTTGATATGCATTCTTGATATAAAAACACAATTTGCTGTGGCTCTTTCAGAACTAAATTAATTCATTCTTTGCTTCTAGCAAAAATGCATTGGTTCCATCTTCTGTTTTTCTGCTTTTATCTGTTTTATACCATTTTAAACTCAATATCTCTGGGTTGTTACTGTTGCTGAGAGATGGAAATATTCTGAAGGCTTCATCTTGGAATTGGAAACTATTGCTTTTTTCTTTTTTTTTACATAACTAATCAGTTAATTGAGAAAATAATCTTCAGATTATTCAGTAATGACAATAATTATTAGTTCAGCCCTAAACTAGTTTCTGTTTTTGTGTTTCATGTTGTGGCTTACTGCATTATATAATTCATAGTGTGATTGTTAGTTAGACATAAGTCTGCTTTTCTTTTTGTGTTAAGTCATTTGAGACAATCTGTCTAAAATATTGAGAGTTTCTAGTTCTCTAAAGGAATCTCACTTAAAGAGATTCATAAATAAATAAACTTGAACTTGAACAAAGAAAAGTGAAAACAAAGATGCTTTTAAAACAAAGCATTCCCTGTTGCAGTTTGCAGAAACTGGTGTGGCATAACATCACTATAATAGTTTTAACTCACTCACTTTTCACAATTTTCTGATATTTCACAGCATATTAATTGATGTTGAACATAATCATTAGTTAAGCCCAAATTCAAGAATAAAAAGGTTTTGTCTCTTATGTTTATGTGTCATACTCTGAAGTCCAACATTTTCCTCACAGTTAAATGACCTTTATCTGCTGCCAGATGTGCTTTGATCAATATTCTCTCAGCTTTAACGCCATCTCACAGGAACATGTTATACCTTTAGATAACACTCAACGAACAAGTCAGTGAGCATTCTAGATTTGTAAAGACACCGGATGCATTTAGAGATAGGCTAAGAATAATCTGTGTGTGTGTGTGTGACAACAGCTGCAACTGTAGTCCCGTCTCTTCTGGCTCAGTTTCCCCAGGGATCCAAACAGTGGACGCTGACTTGTCTGACCACCACTACCTCCCTCTCCTCCCCCTTCTGCCCCATCTCCCTCCCCTCCACTCCACTTCACTCTGGTCCCAGCTTAGTCAGCTGTCACTCTCTCACAGCCTCACAACACTACTCCCACAGCAAATCTGGGGCACACAATGCCTGAGAGCAGCACAGTTGTACAACAGTCAGAGAGTCTGCAGAGCTCAGACTCATACGAGGTCTGAACACAAAGACCGGGTCATGTTACAGTTCAGCACTCAACTGTGAGTATTGCCTTAACATAATGATGGGACGTGTGTGATGATCATATAAAAAAGGGATCATCAGTGGGGGGATGATGAATAGGGAATGCAGTGTATGAGCATGCATTTATGTGTGCGCATTTTTGTCTCTGTGACCCCTCGGGATCCTTCTGTAGGCTAATTTCCTGCTAAGCGCTCATCTTTCAATAAGCCCTCAGCTGTGTAGCCACACAGCTCTACCTTGGCCCTCAGGAATGCGCTCACGTTTCACTTTTTATAATCGTCAGCAACTAAAAGTCCAGAATCGCCGCTCAGTGCGGCTTTCTGCAAGAAGTTCCCACAAGAAACATGAGCCACACTCACACATGCTAAAGCTAGCAAAACCATAGGTCATTTGTAGTAGCACATAAACACCCCCACTTCTGGAAATGAAATACTATGTCTTAAAGCCACAAAGCAGAGCCAGATTTGGCAGAGAGATAAATGCAAGAGTTAAATCTAGGGCGAATTATTTGGGATTTAACATCTGGCCGCTTTGCGGTGCAATGCTTATCGTATAAGATAAGTCTCACACTCTTGTTCTGCTAATGCATGCAAAGTGGAACTTCACAGACATGAAATGATGTTGCATTAAACATTATTAACCCAGGCTTGTAATGAGGTGAAAGGGGCACAGCTTTACACAAAATATGCATTAATGCTTCAAAGGGTTCACTGCATATGAACGTATGCTCATATTTCCTTTTTGTATGTGCAGTTAAACATGTTTAATGTGTACACCTTTAAAAAAAAAAATTATAATGTATGCATAAAATACAGAGAATACAGAGAAAACTGCAGCTTGTCTGTACAGATGTTGAATGTCCTCTTAGAAAGTACGCGATATAAACTAGTTGAGGTGTTAAGTCTATTTTAGTAGTGAAACCTATCGACGTTAGAGAGTAGGGCTGAAATCAATATCACAGTTATAATAAGACAATTTTGCTGAGCTCAATACATGGCCAATTTATGCAAACCTGCTAATTTATGAAGAAATATGTAAACTTACACTGTTACATCATGCATTGGTTAGTTGATTATCTTTTGATTATTGATTTATCATTTATTTATTTTTATTTTATATTTTATATATATATGTATATATATATATATATATATATATATATACATCAATAGAATTGAAAGGAAATAGAACAACGTGCAGGAGAGCCTTACATAGTTTAAAAAGAAGACAAATGTAAAACATTTGTTGGTTCCAGCTCCTCAGATGTGTGAATTTGATGCTTCATGTGATATTAGATTTTTAAAAAACACTGATCGATTACTCAGTAGTCCAAATATTGTACCCCAACTTAGAAACTTAAAGGGATAGTTTAGGTTTTTTGAAGAAAGGTTGTATTAGGTACTTATCCATAGTCAGTGTATAACCTAGATGGAGCACACTCTGACATTCTCATTCTCTTAATATGATAAAATGCACCGAGACTCTAATGTTGTTCACGAGACTGGAAAGTTTGTAGAACTTGAGTCTGAAGACGGATCCCAGCAGTACTGAATATTTCAACCTGACAGAACACAGCAGCATTTTTTTTTTTTTGGTCAGACTGCAACATGAGGCTCCCAGCAGACCACCCTCCTCTAAATCTATGATTGATGTCTTTAGGTGCTCTGACAGGTGAACCTAATACACAAGAATGTTTCCATCCTTTGATCTCGTTCCTGCCTGCCAGAGTTTAGTGAATCTGAGGAATTCAACATGTATTTGTACACATGCAGTCCGACATTGCTGTAACTCCACCACAGACGAGCAGAAGTGCTGTCGGTGCTGTTGTTTCAGGGCCGTCGGTTCTCCCAACTCCTGCTGAGTCATGCCCATTAAATCTTCTTGGGGGGTGAAATCCGTGGTGGCTTGATTCCAGTCTGCAGTTGGGATTTATTCTAGAACAAATAGTCATCAACACTTTAGTTGATAAATAGCTCAATTGACATCATCAATCATGCAATCAAGTAATATCTTAAGAAAAGTGCCCGACTTATATGGCTTTTTTGAGACCAAAAATTCACAGTATTACCAATATAGTGGCAGATATAGTGAATTTTTCAGCTGAAATAAAGATAGACCGATTTTGCACCGATATGGCTACGCGAAAGTACTTAGTAGTTCTTTAATATGCTAAATAATTTAACATAAAGGCTATATTGTCAACTAATTCTAGAAATGAACACAGGGAAAATAAATAAATAGAAATAAAAATAAAATAAATAGCTTAACATCAGTACAGTAAAAACTACAAGTGTTTTTGCATTATATAATGGAAAATACAATTTTTCATATCGCCAATACGGATACCGATACGATACTGATATGTCTGTGATAGACCAAATTCGGGCGACCAATTTATCAGTCAGGCTCTAATTAAGAAATAATGACAATCACTGGTTACAGCTTGTTAAATATAAGTATCTTTGCACTTTGGACTGTTTGTCAGATAAAACATGCAATCTAAAGGCACCGTAGGGTATGACCTATTATTCAGCAGCTTAATTTAAAAAATGATCTTTAGTTGCAGCCCTGTAAGAAAAAAACATCTAAACTTCACATCAGCTACAGTGACAATGTGGGAAAAGAGGGCGACTAATTTGTTTCTGTTTATTCTATTTCTGTCAGCACAAGCAGGCCTGCTGCCTCCCACACTCACAACATCACAACATATCATTAAGTGCTGTTTCCATTAACTGCTTCTCAGCGATAATTTAGGAGATCATCTCATCGCACCAGCTTCAGATCTGAGTGCCTGCAGAGCCGCAGCATGCAACTTTCAACCCCTTCAAGAGCGTCAGATCGTTCGTCAGGACAGGAGCTGGTTTCCTCCTGCCGGTCGTGGCAGCCGCCCCAGTCAAAGGGAAAAGACTCTTCCCACCACCAACATGACCAACATACACTCAGATATTAGAGCTGACCCCCGCTAATAGCTCAGCGGCCGTCGTTTAAACTTCACCACCCACTCAACAACAAAAGCATCAATTTTCATGAAGCCCTTCCAATTCTCCTAAACCCTTCAAACAGTAAATAATTGAGCCTTGTACTTAACCGGTCTTATCTCTGCAGGGTGTTGCTCTCATGAAGTGGCTGTTTGCACTCACACTCATTTAAACAC